CCCTCCAGAAGTTCCCTGACTAGATCCTCACTGACCCTGGGCCTAGGTGCGCCTCCCCCAGGGCCTGAGGGGGTCCTGGTGGGCGGGCTGATCGGGTCCCTGCTCAGGAAAATGGAGGCAAAGAAATTAAATAGGTTAGCTTTGTTGTCTGGTGTGATGACCAGATTTCCTAGCATGTCTTGCAGAGGCCCCACGTTACCCAGCACCTTCTTTTTGCCCCCTATGTATTTAAAAAAGGATTTCTTGTTGTCCTTGATCTGGGTAGCTAGTCCCAGTTCCATCTCTGCCTTGGTCTTCCTGACAGCCCCCCTGCAGCCCTGAGCAACCGAGGTATAGTCCTCCCTGGTGATGATCCCTCCCTTCCATTGGGTGTACGCCTCCCTTTTAGCTAGGAGATGTTCCGTATGCTTTTGGTGAGTCATGGGGGCTTTTGTGCCCTCTTGTCCCCTTTGATCCTTGTCAGGATTACCTCCCTGTTAATGATGTCCTTGCCTGCTTTGTTTGGACTTTGATTAACCAACTATCAAGAAGGAATGCTTTGAAGCTATGCAATTAAAACAGTACAAAAAACAAGACAGAACTGCCAGGAAGGTGTGTGGAGTCCAGAGAAGATCAAGAAGCCATCCTGCTACCCACCGACCAGTGAAGGACCCATGCTCTGTAAAGCTGTACAAGAACTGCTTCCTGCTTGCATTGGGTAAAGTTCTCTTTGCAGCTAAGATAATACAAGGACTGTAATAGGTCATTTGAACACTAAGAAAAAGCCTTTTGTTTTTCTGTCAGTTAGTTTTCTAATTGCTAGTAATTAAAGCAAGCCTTTCTGCTATTCATCAACTGAGCGTTGTGTCAATTCTTAAAGCACTAGGTTTAGAAATTCCATTTCTAAGTGCAAAAATGCTTTCTCCTGCTCCCACATTTCTGTCTCCTGTTGTCATCCTGAGGTTTCAAAGTACTGACACCCTTACAGCAAACTCTTCCACAATTTGGGGCAGTTCTGGGTGATAGCCTCCCATGAGTTGAAGTTGATGTTGCATTTTTGAAGCTGGCCTTGAGGACATCTTTGAAGAGCTTTCTCTGCCCTCTTCTTCAGCCTATTCCTTGACTGAGCTGGGAGAATAAAACTTGCTTTGGAAGCCTGGAGTAAGACATCTGGATGACATGGCTGGTCCAACAAAGTTAATGTTGAATGATTGTTGCCTCTGCTCATGGTATTTGTTGTGAAAGAATGCTAATGTTGGTGCATTTGCCTTCTCACTGGATTTAAAGAATCTTCCGAAGGTAGCATTGATAGTATTTCTCCAGCAACTTGAGATGTCTCAGCTCTGTACAGTAAGGCAGCAATCACAACTGCTGATCATAATATAGGTAGGTGTAGATAAGACTTCTTACATGTATTGGATTCTGTACTGAATGTGCCAATAAGTGGTGCTTCTGGAACTAAATGCTGAATATACAAATCCAACTGGAGAGGGCCTGCTGAGAATTATGCAGCATACAGCATACCTAATTCCAGTAGCAAATTGTCAGGCATGCAATGGTATTTTATAAAGCTCCATGTTTTCGGGTGGGGGGTGGGGTGGAATTTAATTAACTGCCTGAATTATAAGAAATCTGTGCTAGCCATTTCTATTGATCAGCAATGGGTTTAGCACCCTGCAGTACCTGCACCACAGCATGCACTGTGTCACCTTTCATGTGGTCCGTGACATCAGAACCCTGCAGAACCTGTACTACTTGATCTTCTCTATACTTTAATGCTGCTGTCTTTGAATCTCAGTTGTAGTATGCAGACTCTCCAGGGAGGGATTTTCACTCCTCCTGTTGCTGCTGCCTTCCTCCTCTCCGTTTCATTCTTGTGGTATATCTGACTAGCTAGTGGAACACATGAGATGACCAGGATATCTGCTGCTCTTTTCTCTTTTCTATCTGCTTCACTTCTACCTGCTCCCAAAAATCCCAGATTTACCTGCATCCAAATACCTTGCTCCAGAGGTGGATTAAGGTGTATTGGGGCCCTGGGCAAGCACAAAATTGGAGGCTCCCTACCCCCATGGGAGCTGGGCTGCAGCAGCAAAGAGAAGGGCCCCTTTCCCTCCTGGTGGTGGCAGAGGAGGCAAGGTAGATCCTGCTGAGCTGGGGGTGGAGGGCACATACAGGAAACCCTTGCCATTCATGAGGGATACTTTCCAGAGATCCCTGTGAATTGTGAAATCTGCAAATACATCGGAAATGTGGTGGCAGCGGTGGTGGGAGCGTGGTGGTGGTGGGAGCACAGTGGTGGCAGTGGGAACCCAGCGGCAGCAAGCGCAGAGCTCCTGCAGATGCCACCAGCACTGTCAGCAGCAGGGGGTGGGGGTGGTGGGAGAATGGTGAGGGCATGTGAGACAGCATGCATGGGGAGAGAGCATGGGTTCGAATATTCGAAACTATGAATGGTGAATCTGTGAATGGTGAGGATTTCCTGTACCTTCCTTTTCTCCCTGCTCCCTGTCCCCTCCCCTGCCATGGCCAAACACACACACACACACACACGCACACGCACACACATACACAGGCATGCACTCTACTCTCACTAACTTTTTGCACATGGATACACAGACACACGCAGAGAAACAGACACAGATGCCCTCATGCACACACACGCATGCATACACACACACAAACAGAAACAAACAGACAGAGACAGAGAGAGACACAGAGGCACACACACAGACGTGCACACTTTCCCCTCCCCGACTCTTGATCACTCTGAGGCACCCCCCACAACTACAAGCTGCCCACCTCTCCATCTAGCTCCCCCCTGTCCTGCCCCCCACCTCTATTAGACTTACCTGCAAGGAGCTGCTGCGCGGCTGTGTTCTGGGTGGCCGCGCAGATGCACAGGACCAGACTGGGCTGGGCTGGGAGCACCACGCCGTGTCCCTAGGGGCCGGTGGTGGCACTGGGAATGGTGGCTACAGGGAAGCTAAGATGAATTTTAGGGGATATAGCCCCCAAGGCCCACCCAGTGCCACTGCCCACCTGTTCAGAGAGGCACAGCACTCCCGACCTGGCCCTGGCCAC